AACCGTTAAAAGTTCAAATTTTGAGTAAAATGACTAGTGTTCCCTTAGTTTGATTTAAAATAAATATTACATCGGACAGTCACACCATTTCGAGAGGTTTCTAGGTTCAAAATAACATCTATCTTTTTTCAATTTTTTTTTCAATTTTAATTGAATCAACTAGTATGTCGAATTCACTTTCTACATGATCGTGTGTTTTATTTCCCTCAAATTCTTCATGATCAATAAATCCAAATCGAGTGATTGTTAACCTAAATTTCCATTCCAAATCGTTTTGTTCTATATTCAAGTAAGTCCCAATCTAGAAAAATGAGGTCGAATATTTATATATAATTTTTTTGTGGAAGATAATTGGCTCACTTCTAGTTGTTCATGTGATTATGCCTAAAGGAAGTTTTGTGGTTATGAGGCTCAAATGCGTCTGGAGTCGTCAAGCGAGGTTTTAGCAGTCAATTTTGCTACATGTACATCAAATTTGATGTCATGTGTTTGACATTTTTTTTTACATTAATTTAAACATTGCTATTTTCAATCAATGACTAGATTTTCTATGCGGAAAGTAGAACTTGAAGTTAAAAACGTTGGATCCGAATCCTGCTTATAGCTACACAGACCTTCCGAGTAGAGAGCTATAGAATGTTATGTTCCACCATGTTCGCGCTCTCCGCTTAAGTTCCTGCAAATTCCTTTGCAGTCACATTCATGTCCAACAAAAAATCTTCTTTCTCTCCGCCGCCGCCGCCGCGGCATCGCCCCAATGGCAGCGGACCAATGTCAAACATAGGGACGTTTTGTGCTATTAAGCCAATAAATATTACAGCGGACAGTCACACAATTTTGAGAGGTTTCTAGGTTCAAAATAACATCTATCTTTTTTCATTTTTTTTTTCAATTTCAATTGAATCAATTAGTATGTCGGATTCACTTTCTACATGATCGTGTGTTTTATTTCCCTCAAATTCTTCATGATCAATAAATCCAAATCGAGTGATTGTTAACCTAAATTTCCATTCCAAATCGTTTTATTCTATATTCAAGTAAGTCCCAATCTAGAAAAATGAGGTCGAATATTTATATATAATTTTTTTTATGGAAGATAATTGGCTCACTTCTAGTTGTTCGTGTGATTATGCGTAAAGGAAGTTTCGTGGTTATGAGGCTCAAATGCGTATGGAGTCGTCAAGCGAGGTTTCAGCAGCTAATCTTGTTACGTGTACATCAAATTTGATGTTATCTGTTGACATTTTTTTATACATTAATTTAAACAGTGCTATTTTCAATGGATGATTAGATTTTCTAGGCGGAAAGAAGAACTTGGAAGTAAAAAACATTGGATCCGAATCCTGCTTCCCTAGCTACACAGACTTTCCGAGTAGAGAGCTATAGAATGTTATGTTCCACCATGTCCGCGCTCTCCGCTTAAGTTCCTGCAAATTCCTTTGCAGTCACATTCATGTCCAACAAAAAATCTTCTTTCTCTCCGCCGCCGCCGCCCGTAGCGGGGTTACCGTCGCCTGGTCCGATATCCTCCTCCTCTGTGCCGCCACTCAAACCCTTTCCCAAACCCAACAAATCCACGCACAGGCCATCCTTCACGGCCATCTCCCCCGCAGCGTTTCCATTTCCTCAGCCCTCATCCTCTCTTACGCCAACTTTTATTCCTACCCTTCCACCCTCGACGCTCTCTTCTCTCAGACCCTCCCTTTTTCTCGCTCCGCTTTCCTCCATAACACTCTCATCAGGGCATACACTGTTCTAGCCAGTGGGTCCCAGAAAAGCTACATAGATGCTGCTCCTGGGTTTTTAATATACAATGACTTGTTCAGGAACACTGGTTTCCCGCCAGATGATCACACATTTCCTTTTGTACTGAAGCTTTGTGCGGATTTTTTAGAAAGAGCAAAAGGGTTAGAAGTACACGGGATGTTGATCAAGACTAGGTTTAATGATGATGTGTTTGTAAATAACACCCTTCTTCTGTTTTATGGGAATTGTAGGGATTTGGGTAGTGTTGAGAAACTGTTCGACGAAATGCCTAAAAGAGACTTGATCACATGGAATACCGTTATTCGGGTATTTTCAGACAACGGATGTTGGTTGGAAACTGTTAGGTTGTTCAAGGACATGGTTTTGGTGTCCAGGTTTAGACCTAATGTGGTCACTATTGTGAGTGTGTTGCCTGTATGTGCGGGGCTCGAGGATGTAAATTTAGTTAGTTCGGTTCATTGTTACGTCTTCAAGGTTGGTTTGGATGGTGAAGTGAGGATTGGCAATGCGATGGTCGATGCTTATGGGAAGTGTGGGAATGTTGAGGCTTTAAATGGGGTGTTTGATGAAATGGTTGAAAGGAATGAAGTAATGGGTGATGCTTATGGGAAGTGTGGGAATGTTGAGGCTTTAAATGGGGTGGTTGATGAAATGGTTGATAGGAATGAAGTTTCTTGGAATTCAATTATTGGTGGTTTTGCACATAGAGGTTTTAATACTGATGCTTTGTATAGTTTTAGGCTAATGATTAATGAGAATGTGAAATTGAATTCTATAACTATTGCCACTATGCTACCAGCATTGGTAGAACTAAGATTTTTCAGTAAAGGAAGAGAAGTTCATGGTTTTAGTATAAAAATGGGGGTAGACTCTGATGTTTTTGTAGCTAATGCATTGATTGATATGTACGGAAAATGGGGACATTTCACTGGAGCTTCAAATGTGTTTTATAAGATGGACCTGAAGAATGTAGTATCGTGGAATTCCATGATCGGTAACTTCGCTCAAAATGGGAGAGAGTTGGAAGCTATAGAACTTGTTAGGGAAATGCAAGCTCATGGTGAAATTCCTAACTCTGTTACTTTGACAAATGTTCTTCCTGCATGTGCCCGACTAGGTTCTCTTCACTGGGGAAAGGAAATACATGCCAGGACAATCAGGAAAGGGTCTGCCTTTGAATTATTTGTCTCAAACGCATTAACAGACATGTATGCTAAATGTGGCTGCCCAGATCTTGCTCAAAACGTATTTGATACATCTCTCAGAGATGAAGTATCCTATAATATATTAATCACAGGCTATTCTCAGACAAGTGAGTGTCACAATTCTCTTAGCCTGTTTTCAGAAATGGAACTGGTGGGGATGAAACAGGATATAGTTTCCTACATGGGAGTACTCACCGCGTGTGCAAACATGTCGGCAATCAGAAAAGGAAAGGAGGTCCATGCATTTGCAATGAAAAGGTTATTTCATGANAAGGAGGTCCATGCATTTGCAATGAAAAGGTTATTTCATGAACATCTTTTTGTTGCAAATTCACTTCTAGACTTTTACACTAAATGTGGAAGGATCAACATTGCCAGGAAGGTTTTTGATCGTATCCCTTTGAGGGATGCTGCATCATGGAATACCATGATTTTAGGGTTCGGAATGCTTGGAGAAGTAGGTACTGCAATCAATCTTTTTGAAGCCATGAAGGAGGATAACGTTGAATATGACTCAGTTTCATATATCGCTGTGCTATCTGCTTGTAGTCATGGTGGATTAGTTGAAAAAGGGAAAGAATACTTTGATGACATGTTAGCTCGAAATATCAAACCCTATGGGATGCATTATGCATGCATGGTGGATCTTCTTGGCCGTTCTGGCCTCATGGAGCAGGCAGTAGATCTTATAAAAAGCTTGTCAATGAAACCCGATGCCAATATTTGGGGTGCTTTACTTGGGGCATGTCGGCTCCATGGGAATGTGGAACTGGGTTGTTTGGCAGCAGAACATCTACTTGAGCTGAGGCCAGATCATTCTGGTTCTTACGCACTGCTTTCAAACATGTATGCAGAAGCAGAGAGGTGGGATGAGGCAGATAGGGTCAGGAAATTGATGACTGAGAGGAAAGTGAAGAAGAATCCTGGATGCAGTTGGGTTCAGATTCAAGACCAAATGCACAGTTTTATTGTTGGACAAAGATTAGATTCAAGTTTGTTGCTTGAGAGTTCGCGTTAGTGGCTTCAGAATCTGGTCGATCCCAAGGTACTTTTTGCATGTTTAGGAGAAGAATTACACAATAATACAATACTATACAGCGTTGAGGAAAACAAAAGTATCTGGTTTTGAACGTATGCAATGACAGCTTCTGGTTTCGAGGCCTGATTTCTTTTAGAACCCAATTTTTGCTGAGCAACTCTCTCCCTACCCATTTATTCAATTCATTCTTATTATGTTGTTTTGTTATATTACATTAAATGCAAATAGGGAAGTTACTAAGAAATTACAAGCCAGCTTCAAGGTTTGGAAAGACTAATGAATATATCGATGCGAATTGCATTTTGATCAAATGAAAATAAAAATAAAAATTCAAGTACTTGTAAACCAAATTCAATCTGTTAGCATTGTCAACAACATTATTGAAGAAGAAGCCATTGCCTAGTTTTATCTAATACTACATAAAAATACAGGCCTTTAAGAACCGTATGGTTCAAACTGTCCCACGTGCTATTGTGGGATGCAAACTTGTCCGGAATATAATATCTGCTGGGAATTCACTAACGTCACCACTTTGCACCAATTTTTCTTAATAGGCTTCAACCGCTCTAAACTCCTGTAACAAGGATTGATCATTTGCACCAATAAGAAATTTTTCTTCGTACCAGCTTAGCAGCACCAAAATCCTATGATGTTTCAGGATGTCATTTTACACCACTGCCAGTCCACCAAGTAGGTTGCTTTCTCAATCAAACAAGACAAGAATCAGAAACATGCAAGTTTCCCAACAGACAAGTTCAAGTGAGTTCCCTACCAGCATTTTTTTGCATGTCCCGAGCAGACCATTTGAGTAAAAAATCACTCTTCCACACTCGGGCAGCATTGGTCCAAAATTAAGTGAAAAAGAATAGTATACCACAAAATGTTATGATGGGTGACAAACAACAGCAGTGCACGAAGATTCATCATCCAAAACCCACAATCTCAATTGTACTAGCTGCCTTTGTATTATATCCAGCTTGGTCTCAGAAGACCAGAAAGCAAATTTCTTTTCACTCCCTGGAAAGGTTTGGTTAGCATCAGCAATGTTGATACCAAATCCTAAGCGCGTCTCATCTATGCTGTTATATTTGACGCTCTTTTCTCTCAATAATTTTTCCACTGCATAAAAAAATATGCTGTCACGGGAAACTGAATCTTTTCTCAATGCGTTCACCAATGTCGCAACTTCACATATAAAATCATCAACCCAAATTTTTAAAACTGGGGATGAGCTCCTGACATAAAGGAGTCGACAACTCTTCCCAATAATAAAATCATTTGTCTGCTCAAAGGAATTGAGAAATAAATCTCTGGAAAGGGGAATCATGTTGCCATCAAGTAGCCAGGCACTATAACCAAGTTCCAAGCATTTTTTAGTCACAAATGCCTCCACAAGAATCTCCTTGATAAGTTCCTCAATTGAATTTTGAAAATTCAAAGACTTGGCAAGTTTGGAGATATTGTAAAACTCGTCCGCATCAATTACAGGATGCCCTCTTCTTGCAAGATCAAGTAGGAAACGAGAAGTTGGACCGATAAAGATATAGTTTCTAATATTCAGCCTCTCAATGTGGCAGAGAAAATTCTTGACAATTGTCTCTGACATCCTGTACAGGCTTATTACTATAACGGTGTCCTTTTTCTGCACAGATTGAAGAACAGATCTAAGCTCATCAGGACTTCTCACTATCCTGTTAGCAAATACTTCTCTGAAGCAGAAGTCATACCACTTGAGATCACTTAAAGGATGTAGTTTCAGAGAGTCGAGATCATTAGAATTTTCATCCAGTAAGTAAGAATCGGGTCCTGCTGTTTTCCCATAATTAACACCAGCATCTCTATGAGAGACACTGAGTGCTCTCTCTTGCAAGAAATTGGTATAAAAGTTGAAATAACCATTAGAATGGATAAATTTAATAAACCAAGGAGTCCAAATTCTCTCCCCCATCTTTTTGTACCATCCATTTGTCACCTATTATACATCAATGTTCCATGTGAGAAGGACCAAACAACATCCAAATTGGGAAGGGGAAACATTGCCCATTAAAGACATGGGCAAGAAAGAGGAAACAAATAAAGCAACTATAAGAAAAAAAATTACCATCCCCTCAAGGTATGGCTTCATGCCTTTTGCCTTGTGCGTGTCATACCAGAGACGGAACTCTTTCCAGGGTTTTGGAAACAGAAGCTGGCCCCAAGTGCCGACCAGATGATACAAGAAAAGGTGAGTTCCACTATCTAAATGCATCTTGTTTCCATGTTTACCTGTCGGCAGCAATCGATACAAATACTTAAAAGAATGATATAGGTTTAAAAGCTCTCTGGCAAGCAAGATTCATGATAGTGAAGCATATAAAGATGACATGGAGAGTCACACTCACTGTGACTGCAACATCATGACATCAACTATAGTTATCTGCTACCATAGAAACCAAAGGAAACATATTAAACGGGATCCCCAACTATGCAAGAATAATGAAAGAAACGTGCAGAGAGGATCAGTCATTGCAGTTTTGATGTGCTTAGAAGGAATAAATTTGCTTTAACTTGTGATGGACATAACCCTGAAGATTAGTATTCATCTACATGTCATCTCAATGAAGAACAATGTAAATTGAGACCAGTTACATGACATGTCTACTCACATGCAGACATATCAATACAGTTGGCTACACCAACATTCTTAATTCGTGTGCTAGTGCAGATGAAGATGTCACGGATTGCTTTAATGGTTCTCTTTTTGGCAGAAACTAAGCTGAGAATTCATAAAATCTTAGGAAACATGAAACATGGGTGTTAGTTTGCTGAATTTTGCACATTATTAAATCAAAATATTCCAAGATACATATGAAATTATAGCTTTGTAGTTGTAAGTTGAATTGATTTGACCAAACACTGATGATAAAAAACAGAAATAGATTCAAATTCTTTAAGTCAAAATTCCTGAAAATTTGGAATTCTCAAGAACGCAATCCCTTTTAAGCAATATGTAGGTAAGATGTGCTTTGAATTGTTGTAAATATGGTTTTGGCTCATTATATTATATTCATGCTACATCAAGCAAGGTGAGACTTAGGTGTCAAACAACAAATGACGAAAGAATGCTAAATAGTCTTCCTATCGTAACATGTTTCCAACTTATTTATGTCTCGGAAATTATTTCCAATTTCAGCGTAAACACTGCTGATACATGTTGCAGCTTTGCTCAAGTGTAATGTCAGTATGTTACACAGAAAATGTGTTGGATTATGTGTTTGCTTAGCATATTCCTATTCTATTCTGTTTAGTATTACTCTTGGAGTTGGAGAGTAAGGTTTAATCCATAACAAAATATTCTATTCTGTTTAGTAAGGTTCAATGCTTACAAATTAAAGTATTACGTAAATGAATGAGCAAAAACCGCAATGACATAAATTCTTTTTTATTTATGCATTTTCTAAGCAACTACATATCAAAGTGACAAAATAAAAATCCCAAAAAAAAAAATGAAATATAACAAAAGAAAAAGGAAATACCTGGCACAAATTTCGGCCGCTGCAGCGATGCCCCATAAACCATAGGACTGAAATTCGAAGCATTATAGTAGTAATTCAATATCACAGACTTAAGAAACCTATAGATCAAATACAGAATTTGGATCAGTCCCGTCTGTAATCAAACAAAAATCCCAGAAACATAAAATCTAGAAAATGGACAATAAAGAAAACAAAAAAAAAAAAAAACCTATAATAAAGAGGTGAAACCTCCAGATCGTCCTCAACAACGAACGCAAACTCATGATCCGAACTGGGCCACCAGGCCTCGAGCCACTGAGCCTGAAGCCCAGCATTTGAAGTTCGATAATGCACAAGCTTTTCACCTAATTTCCACTCAAACCCATCAACAAAATCAAGAATTTCCTTCGAGAGATTCAATCTTTGGTCCAAATCCGCAGACTCATAATTCGAATCTTGAACGACATGATCAATATACACATGAAGATGCACTTTGTTAGTGCCATCATACTGCGCTTTAGCTAGAGATTTGAGGCAACGGGAGAGAGAGGAGAAACGGTTAAATGTGAGGACTTTGATGAGGAGAGTGAAATTTGGGTCAGGATTTGAAGTTGAAATTGTGGGGAATTGGGGAGGGATTTGGGACTTGGGATTGGATGGGGAGAGAGAGAATAGGAAAATGGTGGAGAGAGAGAGGAGGAGGA